GCCGCACTGTCTCGTTCAGCAGGGCGTCTTCATGTTGACGGACGCGGTCGCATGTGAGCAGTGGACCAAGTCCACCGGCCTGCCGTTGCATGAAGCAGTGCAACTGGACCAGCAACGCTGCATGACCTCCGCAGGCACTGATGGCAAGCCGGGCTTGCAAGCCAGTGATATTCAGGCCTCAGGGAAAGCACAGGACGCAATGCGCATGCAAGTGTGATGCTCCCATGCTAGCTGCTGTGTCGAAACGAAGCACATGCACATCATGTCCTCCCCCCCAACAGGTAGACTCTGCACCGGTCAAGGAGTCAAGGCCAAGCCTGGAAAGAACTTCTTGGAGTCTTCAAAGCTGAATGCAGCAAGGTTCTTGTGTTCCAACTGTATGACAGTCGGCTCCGGATTCCATACCACCGGCGCAGTGTGCGTAATGACCGGCACCACCAATCCCAAAGGATTCGGCCCACAGTTGTATTCAGCCAACAAGTTCACGAAGTCTTTGAGTCGTCTGTCATTGAAGCCACGCTTCAGCAGAAAAGCGAGCTCATCCACATGCACAACCAGGATGCTTTTGTTTGCTGAGCCGCTTGTGAAGCTTTTGAACACGGCATCAAGCACAATAGTGACTGTCAAGCCTTTTAGCCATTCTTCCCCCCCACGAAAATAGTCTGGGTCGCACTGCAGAAGTCCTCGGGTAAATAAGAGTGTCGCCATGATTTGTTTCAAGGAGAAGCCCTTCTGCTCAGAAAGATACTCGGTTTCTGTGCCATCAGTTCCCCCACCAGTCCCACCGTTGAAGTTCAGCCCTATGCGAGAAACCGCGTACGGTTGGAAGCTTTGGTTCCTTTTCAGTAAACGTTCCACCTCAAAGCCCCAGCGTGACTTGCCAGCGCCACTCATCGTGGCATACTCCAGCAGCGGGCTGTTTGCTTTGATCAAAGAGCCATTGCGACTCCGATCTCCCAACATCTTGGAGACCCTATTCAGAAACTCCTGGGACTCCAAAGGCCGAGCCTGAAACTCGCCATCGTCGGGCTCACCATGAATGCTGGCAGGCACTTTGTCTTTCAGGTCGCCTCGAAGGCGTAGCAAGCCTTCCACTGTCTGCTCTGAGTTCGCCATGATGGCCAGTGGGGCCTGCAAAACGGATGTGTGAAGGAAATAGCCACTGCCAAAGGACAAACAACGCACGGCCACGCAACTGTTTGATGGTTTTGCGCGCCACTAACCATTCACACCAAATCAGGCAAATATGAGCGGGTACATCAAAAGTAGAAGGGAATGGCAGCACAACGGGCCAAACCATCGAACAGGAACTGTGCCCGTGGATGCAAAGCCGGGAATGCTTGAGCTCACTGCATCAAACAGAACATTCACAGAATGCACTTGGGCCTTCAGCAGCAAGGACCCCAATGGGTGCAGAGACATAAAGACATCAGAGTTTGCCCTCCCTCTCCCCGACGGCAGAAGGGCAGGTCTTGCTCTTTGAAAAGCAAGCTGAAGGCAATGACAAAATCACTCACAAGGATCAACGGCACGTCTCAATCAATGTTGACCGGCAGGAATGACCGACCTCCAACAAGGAATGGCAACCATCCGTTCATGGGGGGCTCCATACCGAGCCTACCAAGGACACGAACCGCCGCAATCTGCAAAAATGCTATCTTGGGATTTCCTGTGTCCTGGTTCTCTGGAAGAGAAAGGCTGGACTGGAAACTGGAGGGACTCTGGTCTCTGGAACTGGCTGGACTGCTCTGGGGAAAGGATAAACCACAGGAGAGACGGGACGGTTCTTCTGGTATCACTGGGAAAGGGAAATTCTCTGGAAGAGAATCTCTGGAAGAAAAACCTCTGCACAGTGGAGTGAGGGGCAACTGGAACTGGGAAAACCAGAGGTGAAAACTCTTGAAAACTGGCAAAGGTGGAGGGAGGGAATTTCTCTGGGAAAAGAGGCTCTGGGGGGGAGGAAACACTGGACAGGATGCGATCAGGGCAGCCCCACCAAAACCATGTGCGGGCCGCGCGGGGAATTTCAGAACCGCACGCAACGATCAGAGTCCCAGAACGCAGCCGGCCGGCGGAAGCGACCGACTCCGCCCGCCTCGGACTCCTTCGTCCGGCCGCTTGCCTTCGCCTCCTTGACCTCCGCCTCCTGCACCTTCCTCTCCGCCTCCTGGACCTTCCTCTCCGCCTCCTGAACCTTCCTCTCCGCCTCCTGAACCTTCCTCTCCGCCTCCTGAACCTCCTTCTTCGCCTCCTGAACCTTCCTCTCCGCCTCCTGGACCTCCTCCTTGGCCTCCTGCACCTTTGTCGCATTGCCCGAGTCCTCCGCCGTCTCCAAGACGGTGGCAGCTCGAGCGAGACGCCTCACCGCCATCGCTTCCTGCTCCTGGGCGCTCTCAACCTGCCGCTGGGCGCTCTCAACCTGCCGCTGAGCGCTTTCAACCTGCCGCTGGGCGCTCTCAACCTGCCGCTGGCCCATCTTCCGCTGCTGTCGCACCAGGAGCAGGTCCTGCCCAGGCCGACTCCCACGCCGAGCGCTCGAACGCGCTCGAACGGACGGCCTCCTCCAATGCCGTTTTGGCTGCTTTGGCCTGAAAAGCACCCACAACAAACGTGCATTTTGAAAATGTCACGAAAGCGCTTCTGAATCTGACCTGTTGGTAAAGGAAGCAAACACTGCTGCCTCTGCCACAAACTTCCGCAGCTGCTTCTCCAATTCGGGCTTATTAACCGAAACCTTCCACTTCCCTGCTGGATCTACCAGCTGCACTCTTCCTGAGCTCAACTGCGCCTGCAAATCCACAACGAACGTATTGACGTGCTGCTAAAGCGGCGCATGACCACTTGCATGTCTTTCAGCGTGCCGTTGTCCACAACCCGTTTGGCTTCTGCGACCACCTGAGCGAGACAAGGCTGGGACGTCGCTTTCTCTGAAGGCCCGCCGCCTCCTCGAGATCGAGCCGGTCCTGACAACCAACAAGCCCAACGTTCAAGCCCGATGCACGTGTCCCCCAGGCCTGGCCACTGTTGTCCTGGCGGCAACCGGCAAAAGATGCGAACAGGCTTCGGGTCGGAGGAGTCCTCTTGCGCAGCCCCGGCGCGCCGAGCGACTCCGGCATGCCGTTTTGCCTGAAAGAGCCAAAGTGCAATCTGCTTGCGCCTGCGGGCAACTCTGAGAACTGGGCCAATATGCTGTCCTGGCACTCAGCACAAAACAAGAACATCCAAAGGAGGGACATCATGCTCCTTCAGCCCAGGAACTCCTCGAGCAAAGTCCTGGGCGGCGGCGACAAGGGACTCCTGAAACCCGAAAACCTTCGAAAAAAATGTGTCCCAAGACCCAGGCCGTGCTCGGCTGCACGAGCAGCGCCAATGCAATCCCGAGAAGGCAGAGGCACATACCTGGCCGCTGCCTACCGCGGGCACGGTAGCGTCACAAGCTTGCCAGCCTCGGCTTTTGGTCCTGGTCCGCATCATCGCCATGGCTATTCGAAAAGCGCTTGAGCGGCCTGCGATTCCTCAAGCACTGGCACTAGACCCATCGGGCAACCACTGCGAGCTGTTGTTGTGTCAGTGTTGATGAGTACCCTCGAGCCAAGTTTCCAGAGCAAACACAAGATTGACTGGCTTCTTTGGCACCACCAACGCACGGGTTTGGATGCTCCTCCTCCTTTTCACTCGCGGCCTGAAGGTCGGTCGGGCCAAGCCTTGCAAGGCTTCGCAGCGTCCATCCGTCAGACTGGCTGTCCCACATCCTGCCGCTGCATCAAAGTCCAAGCGAGATACCAAACTGGCCTGCCTGCAAAACAAGCAGCCGAAATCGGCACCGGGCCGCCAGGGGCTGAAGGGCGGGGGTTTCTGGGGTCCCTGGTCCCTGGGATCACTGGAGCCTCTGGGGCCCTAGGGTCCCTACATTCCCTAGGGTCCCTAAGGTCCCTAAGGTCCCTAGGGTCCCTAGAGTCCCTGGGGTCCCTGCACACGTGTGCATCAGACGTCTCGCCAAGGCCCCAGAGTGCGCTCATCCCTGTCAACGCACGGCGGGTTCAGGGACCTTGGGGACCTTAGGGACCTTAGGGACCTTAGGGACCCCAGGGACCTTAGGGACCCTAGCAACCCGGCAAACCCTACCCTAGGGACCCTAGGGACTCCGAGGACTTCAGGGACCCAGCGACCCAGGACTTCAAGAGATCCTTGGTGGCCCCAAGGATTTTGGGGCTTGAGGGGATCTTGGCAAGAACTTCACGCCGGGTACCACTCAGCCTGGGCATTCTCCAGCATCATAGGGTCATGCAAAAACACAAAATGCCGAAGCCAAGACACACACACACACACACACACATTGCAAATGGGCCACAACACCACAACATCATCTCCCAACTACAAACACGGATGTAGAAAACACCATGTAGAGACATACCAACATACAGGCACAAAGACATAAAGATATAAAGATATAAAGAAAAAGGTATAAAGATACAAAGATATAAAGATATGAATTTGTAGAAATACAAAGATATAAATGTATGAAAATTCATAAAGAGATACAAATACGTAGAGATATGAAGATATAAATGTATGAAAATAAATATGAGTACACGAAGATAAATAGATGTATGGCAAGTTGCTCGAATGGAAAAACAACAGAAGCTTTGCCCTTCCGCGCGTCTTTGTGTCCCCTTGCGTGGCAAGCTGCAACCAACCGAAGCTTGAGAGATGACTTCACACTTCACAGGATCTCTTGCCCCCAAGACCCAGGGTTGCTGGGGTCCCTAAGGTTTTTGGGGTCCCTAAGGTCCCTGGGGTCCCCAAGGGTCCGTAAGGTCCCTAGGGTCAAAACGCCGTGTGTTGACAAGGATGGATGCACTTTGGGACTGGCCAGACGTCTTGATGGAAGGACGTTGTTTCATGGCACCTGCAGCGGACGCCCGCGTGCCCAGGGACCCAGGAACCCCAAAAACCCCAGGGACCCTAGGGACCCCAGGGACCCTCGGGACGGACCGTCAGGGCTTCACTGGGTCAAAAATCAAGGGGGCTGACAGATTGGTGACAAAGATCAAATGACAATAACCTGCACGGGACCTCTTGGCCATGACAATGGAACGCGGCGAGGGCCCGGGCGGAACGTGGAGCTCGAGGAAACCACACTGCCTGACTTACAAAAGACCTGACAGTACGACTTGACGGGGTTGGGGCAATCGCTCTCAAGGTCAAGGGTTCACCAGGTTGGAGAGACAATACAAAATTCGGGCCTGGCTCAACGAGGTCACGATTTCCAAAGATACACGGGCCTGACGGCGCGGCTTGACGGGGTTGGGAAAAGCACACAAAAAAACAACGCAAACCACTCGGGCCTCACCGGGTCAAAGAGATCAAGGTTGGGCCCAACCCTGAAAGCTCAGTTCAAATCCGCACATCAACACTGACGGCGCAATCAGCAAAAAGGCCCGAGTCGCGCAAATCATGGCACGGGACGGGGGGGGTATCCGGGCCTCGCTAAGCCAAAGATCAGGGGGCCTGACAGATTGACGAGTTGGGACCCAAACCTCAAAGATCAGTTGGCATTGATGGCCATGACAACGGAAGCAGCGAAGGCCCGGGCAGTATGCCTCGATGTCAAAACAAAGCCTGGCACGGGGAAGCGCGAAAACACGACCTTCAAACTCCAGGACCAAACCTGAAACACTGCTCAAAGGCCGAGTTGACACCAATCCGCACAGGTGCCCAGCCAAAGAGTCCCCAGTAGCACGAATTGGATCCACCTGCAAGCGGCCAACAAAAAGTGACAAAAAGGCAACTCGCGGCGCTGCGACAAGATCTGCACGTCGAAGTCTGGGCACAGGGCACGTGAGGTCAAGAAAAACTGTGAGTCTGAAACCACGCCTTTGCACCCGCGAGCGGTTCCCTGCCGCCCCGTACCCCAGAGTGTCCCCGAATCTCGCCTTCACAAGGCCCACGTGCTTGGGGAAGCTCTTTCCAAACACGACCGACAACGTGAAAATCGTGAGAAAAACGCAACACCGGCAACCTGTCATGCAAAATCACCCTCAAAAACCACGCAAAACTGAATTTACGGAAAAACAGACAAAAACGTGTTTTTGTCCGGAAATGGCGGCCCTCGAGCCGCTTGAGCCAGGGCCGTCCCTTTAATCGTACCATTTTGTTGTCCGCCCTATAGGAAAGGGACCGGCAAGCAAGAGTCAAGATGACTACCATCGCCACTAGCGGGGCGAGGCGCAGACGAGCCCCGGCGCCATCGTCTGGCAGTCCGCGTGGACTCACGTCCTCTGGGAGCCCAGCGGCTTCGGCGAGGCCCAGGCAGAACGCCTGCCTTGCAATGGAAAGGGATTCCGAGGCCTGGGCGGCCTGGGAGGAATTCGAGCGTTAACGAGCTGTCTTCGCGGTCGAGCCACATTTGGGGCAACTACGGCGATGTGAAGGACAGGTGGCAGAGCTGCCTCAAGGAGTCCTGACAGGGAGCGACCTTCCTGAAGTGCAAACTGGACGCGCGGAACGTCCGGCTTCTGGGACACCGACGGCAGCAAGATCCAATGGCCCGAGTTGCTGGCGGGCTGCGAGTGCCAGGCCCGCGTCGAGGCCTGGCAGGTCTGGATCATGGGCAAGCAACGCGGCCTGGTGGAGGTCCGCGACCCCGGCACGGGCGAGGACTCTTGTTCTTTTTATCGTGGATGTCAGACGTAAGCGAACGCACCCGTAACTGACCCCGGCGGCCTCGAGAGAACAGCGAGGCCCCGGGGCACCCCGGGACTTAGGGGGCCTAGCGGACTTAGGGGGCCGGTTCGGCAGCAGGGCGCTCAGCGCTCGCGCTGGTTGCGCAGCCTCCAGCAGCAGAATTGCATGTTCACCCGCACGGGCGCTGATGAGCCTCAGCTTCTGGGAGCTCACCCAGGTGCTAATCTGCATGCGACGGCCTCGGATGAAGAGCGTGTCAAGGGCGCCGTGGGGTTTGGAGCTGCGGCATCGTCCATGTCGTCGATTATTATCAGGATCTGGTACAGTTTCTTCATTTCCAACTTCTTGGACGCTTCCGTGATCTTGCGCTGCTGCTGGATGATGCGCACGTAGATCCGCTCAAACACGCCCTTGTACTGCTCCAGGATGAGGCTGATGAGCGCCACGGTCTTGCCCGACTTGCTGGGCCCGAGGAAGATGCCCGTGCGTGGCACCAGGCACACCACGGGGTCCGAGGCTTGCTTGCTGGTGTACTCGCGTGGGGAAAAGCTTGATCTTCCCCATTCGTTTTGCGTTACGCAGGTTCCGGAAGCCGGCCAGCGAGTCGGGACCTAAAAGTAAAGGCCGCCACGCAGCGTGCACCTTTGGAAGACCACGTTGAATGTAACACTGCCGCAACAGACAAGGCCGGAACCTCACAGAAAGGCTGGAGTCTTCTTCAGCGATCTGCAGTCTTCCGAACTCAAACTTGCTTGGAATGGGCACATGTTCCTTGCGGGGATTGAACCCGCGACCTATGGCTCATAGGACCATCGCTCTAACCACTGAGCTAAAGGAACTTGGCAATGCAAGCACCATAGCACGGCACATTTTTGTTTGCCAGAACTCACTTTTGTATATGCACGAGCGCAGCGATTTTTTGACAATCACCTCAAAACCTGCGCCCTGCCATCGAATCCGTCCCTCCAGAGGATTGAACGGGGTTTGTATATGCACGAGCGCAGCGTTTTGTGACACTCGGCCCAAAAACGCGCGCCCTGCCACGTGGCTGGCTCCACACCTGGACCTGCTGCGCGACGTGTCGGTGCTGCACTCGCCCTTCTTCGGTTCCGGAAAGCTAGAGCACTACCTTGCCTGGCGGCGCATTGTCGCCCTGCCAAGTAGCTTCCAGGTGGACCTATCAAGCTGCAAATCGGCCCAATCAGCAGGCTCAGGGAATTCTGCGCCAAATGCCTGCTAGTCCATCCTACTCCTGCGGGTTGCGCAATGCGGTGGCAAGCAAGTTGAACGACTGTTCAGAGTTCCTTCGCACGGCAGCAGCAGCCACTGCCCGAGCTGCGTGCGGCGGCTGCAACTGCCACCGTCCAACGTGACCGTGCGGCACCAGGATGCGCTGGCCTATCTGCGAGCGCTGCCCACCCAGCACCCCAGCAATGCAATCCTGTTGCCGGCGCAGGATTGACGGAAACGCAACCCAAGGCTCATGCAGCAAATGAGGCCAAGAGAATTCCAACCCAACCAACCTTCTGCTCTGAGTCACCGTTGCGCTTAGAAAGCACTTGTCAGGCTTTCCGAGCCACAAAGCTCCGCAACAGAAACGCACTTACAAGGCCAGAAACAGCGCTTTGAGCCCGGGCAACTTAAACTTCCGAAGCAAGCTGAAAAACCTTGCAGAAGTGCAAGCAGAAGGGCTGTGGCCGCACCGCGCAAAACCACCAAATTTTCGCAGAATCCACATTTGCTGAATGATAACCTCTGAGGATGCGCTGCGAGCGGTTCACAAATAACAGAGAGAGGTGGTGCAAGCGCGGCCGGTGAAAGTGATGATGGCCGCAGTCAAAGGGGACTTGGCCGCAGGGTCCGCCAGAGCCGCAGGTCCAGGTCCAGTTCCAGGTCTTGGCGGCGCCGCAGCAGCAGGAGTGACAGCCGCTCAAACCGCAATTTGAATACTCGCGACAAGCGCCGTTACAAGATTACGGACAAGAGGTCAAGTAGTAAGGAAAGGGATACTATACTACCCTAATTCATTTGGATTTTTGGTCCCAAAACCCTGCAAAACAGCCAAATTCTTCAACCCGCTGAACGTTTTTCCAATGTCACCGGTCTTTGTCACCACTCCATTTTTTTCTTTTGTTTTTTTTTTTTTGGTTGCAAAAAGCGCTTGGGATATGTTGCGAGCGCGAGGGATGAAAAACGGCGAAAACCTCCGAAAAAAGTGCGTTTTTTCGTGTTCGGCGTGAAAAGTGCTGCCTGGGCCCCCAAATTCGCTTCGTTTTCCTCCGAAAAACCGGCTCCCAGGGTTCGCCATTGCTCCGAAATCTTCTTTTTTTTCTGCCTCGAAAAAAATACTGGTTTTTTTTTTTTTCCCAGCCGCTGAAGCTTCACGCCGAACGGTTCACCCCGGTCTTCTAAACACGTTCAAGCCCGCCTGAGGACAGCACAGGAGTTAGCCAGCGTCTGAGCGGCAGCCCGCGAGGTGCTCCCCGAGTAAACGTTCAGCCTGCCGAGGTTCTTCCACGTAACGCGTCAGCCCGCTGATCTCGTCACCGCCGAAGTCACCGGTCTCTAACGCGTCAGCCCGCCAAGGTGCCGGGGAGGAATCGAACCTCCGAAACGTCGCTACGGAGAGCAACGCCTTAGCCATCTCACCATAGGCTCTCGTGCCCTAAAGAGTCAATAATGGAACCGGGCGATTCATCAATGGTTCATGAATGGGCAAGGTTGGTTCATGAAAGGGGCAAGGTCCCAAACGTTTCTTTGACCGAGATTTTCGGTCAATTCGTTGCATCATACCCAGTGTCCGATTTTATAGGACACTGCGCCTGAGGGAGCGCTGCGAAAGTACAACACCCCTGCGCTATAGACCTACTCCTAAGAAAACATGTTTGAAGGACCTGTCACGGGCAACATCCCAGAGGTCCTGGACAACGGAGAGGTGACTGACGGCACGCACGTCTCAGCAGGACAGCTGGCCCTCGCTCTCACGCCCTATGCTCAAGTAACTGACCTGGCGGTGAACACGGCAGCCTCCGGCAACAACGCCGCTGCCATCCAGTCCCTGGACGACCGAGTCACCGCCGAGCTGGCCTCAAAGCTGGACAGCAGCGCGCGGGCGCCGGCGATTGCGCCCCTAGCAACGGCTGCGGCCCTGGCCACCACGGACGGTCAGGTGGCCGCGCACGGAAGCAGCATCGCAGCGCTGCAGAGCTCGCTGACCTCGGGTCTCTCCAACAAGGCAGACCAGTCGGCCTTCGACGTGCTGGAGGGCGTGGTTGCCACCAAGAGCACCCCGGACAGCGTGGACCTGAAGCTGTCCAACTACAGCACCACGGCGGCCATGAACGGCTCCATCGCCTCGGCCAACAACGCCACGCTGGCCACGGTGGCCGCCAACTACAGCCTCAAGACGGTGGTGGACCAACACTCCCTGGACATAGCGGCGAGGATCACGCCGCTGGAGGTGGACACCAAGGTGGCCAACCTCCGAGCTCGCAAGCCAAGACGCCTCCATCTCAGGGGCTGCAGGCCTCCAAGGCAGACGCCAGCGCCCTGACTGCTTACGCCCTGCAGTCGGCCGTGGACACTTCCTCGGAGGTGGACTCTAAGATAGCGACGGCCCTCTTGGACGCCGTCACCACGGCAGCCCTGGACGCCGCCCTCCTCGGCAAGGCGGACGCCAGCGCGCTGGCCGCCCTGCTCTCCACGGTGGACGGGCTGGACACGCCGCTGGAGGTAGACACCAAGATAGCAAATGCGCTGCTGGGCCTCGCCACCGAGGCCTTCGTCGCAGCGCAGCTTGCTAGCCGGGACGCCAGCACCACGGCGCTCC